GAGGCTTAACAACCCAGACGAATTCAGCGTCATCTCATTTGAATTGGTGTGCGTGTGTGAATGTATGAATGCATGAATGTGTGAATGTGTGTGTCTGTGTCTGTGTCTGTGTCTGTGTCTGTGTCTGTGTCTGTGTCTGTGTCTGTGTCTGTGTCTGTGTCTGTGTGTGCGTCTTTAGCTTTTGCTGAACGGCATCACGTAAACACTTGAGCTCCGGCTTCGCATGAACCAGAAATGAAGACGACGGAAAAGAGGCGAGCCCGTCTAATCAATAGTTCAGGGATCAGAGCAACGTCGCAGCGTAGAGGATGGATATTCCTATTTGCTCCAGTCTCCGCTCCGTGCGGGGACCCTGACCTTACACGCGCTTGGGCCCTCAGTCCGCCAATTCGTGTTCGGCAGGCGGTCATTTCACTGACGCGCAGAGAAGCCAGAAGAGCAGAGGCTTTGCCTTCTTGGTCGGCTTGCCCACGAAGTCTTGAGGTGAGCAACTGCCCAGCGATCGCCCAAGACCTTGAACAGAGCTACTCTGTACATTTTGAGCGACCCAAGCTCGCGTGGAAGGTTCGCGTGGCGATGTTCCCCCCGGCAAGCATGGTAGCGGAGCCGTCATCGACGGAGGGTGCGTGTGCATGGGCCCAGGGACCTTGGCGGTGACACCGCAACAGCAAGATCTTGAGGAGAGTGCCGTCGCATGAGATTAATGGTCTCGCTTTGGGTTCCCTAGGTTCTGATATTGGGCCGTACGCGCGGCGTGTTCGGCTGCCACGATTAAACCGGGCATGTTCCTCTACATGAGGAATATTCAATAATAGTCAAAAATGGTCAGGGGGCATTTTTCCAATATCCGTAAGGGCTTCGCCCCATGCCGCCGGCCCCCTGTCTCGGATAATGGGAAAAGCTGAATCCTGAGGTCTGGGCGCCGCCGTGAAGCAGTGTCGGGACCTGTCTGCGTGAGCGGTGCCAGCGAATTTCAGAAATGTGGTAAATCCCAAGTGTTTTTGGACCCTGACCCCGCTGATCTGTGTGAGGGGTGCCACCGAATGTCAGAAATGTGGCAAATCCCCATGTGTTTTTGAACCCTGACCCTGCCGATCTGCATGAGGGGTGCTGCCGAATTTCAGAAATGTTGCAAATCCCAATGTGTTTTTGGACCCTGACCCCGCCGATCTGCGTGAGGGGTGGCAGCGAATTTCAGAAATGCACCAATTCCATATGTGTTTGCACCCTGACCCCGCCGATCTGCGTGAGGGGTGGCAGCGAATTTCAGAAATGTGGTAAATCCCAAATGTTTTTGGACACTGACCCCGCCGACCCGCGTGAGGGGTGCTAGCAAATTTTAGAAATGTTGTAAATCCCCATGTGTTTTTGGACCCTGACCCCGCCGATCTGCGTGAGGGGTGTGAATTTTTCATTCACCAGCAATTCAGACAACACGTTCAGGGCGTAGTACAAATACCCGTTTTGGGCCTCCCCCCCTCGTGCGGTCCATCAACAAGGAACAGTAAGCAGCAAGAAGCAGAACTGTCACAGTGGAAACTGGAAGCTGTAACAGGTACAGGAAACTGCGAATCTTCGGCCTACAGCCTGGTGGCCCCACAAGGGGGCCGGCGGATTTTGTGCTACTTTTGGGCATTGTTTGACTTGAGTTCTATTCGTCCAAAACCCGCCTGTAGGAGGACATGCCCGACCTAATGCCACGAGCGCTTGTCCTGTCACGAGCGCTCGTCGCGACACCGGGCAGATCGAGTTACCGCATTCAGGTCAAAGCTTCCTACTATTATGATATTGGTCGCGTGGCCTTTGGCGCAGAAGTGCTGGCCGCACTGGCAAATCTGGGCATGGCTTGCCTGGCCGTGTCAGGACGTGGTATGCCGTGCTTTGGTCGAGAGGCAGTTGGTTCTATATTTAATCTTTATTGGAGACGACAAGTGTTGACTTAAACTCGAAGTTTTGACTGCTCCTCAGGTCGTGCATGCTAGCGATGTGGCTGGCGCTGAATCACAGTTGGGCCGCGTGGCCGTGCTGGCAGCGCCTGCAGATCGGCTGGCTGAGGCCCGGTGATGGTGAAGACGCCCCCATCACTACCAGGTGCAGTCAACCAGTGAAGGAAGGATGAGCAACTTTCTAAGGTTACCCCTGCATCCTTCCACTTCGACCAATCCTTGGCCGCTTTCGCTGGCCGCGCCCCGTTCGCGAAGTGTCGACTTGGCCTTCCAAGGCCCTTGCATACTTATCGTGCGTCCTTATTATACGGTTGACTGCAGGGCAGAGAGGCAGTTGTCTATGCGCACTATCTTGTGCAGACCGCATGTGTTAACCTACACACCTTGCGAGTTGTGACTATGCGCGCTGGCACTTTCAACGGGCCAAGGTTAAATCCGAGGCGGTCCCCGCCAGCAGGGCTGACGGTCTGCGTGCTGCGGGCTGTGCACCCCAGCCCGGCAGGCTCTCGAGGCCACCTTTGGGGCCTTCGGGAGCCCTGTCGGCTGCGGCAGTCTTTTTCGGTGACCACCGCTGGGAAGATGAGAGCGGTGACAGCATCAAGTCAGGACGAGCGCACACGATCAGCGCCCCTCCGTGTCAGGCGTCTCTGCAAGACGGTGCAATGTAACTCCTCGTCTTCGCTCCTCCATCTTCCTCCCCCTGTCCTTATCATCTAGCTCCTCGTGGGAGGACGCTCTGCCTCATCGAGCTCGTCCTTGGCATGCTTGCACCCAGCCCCGCGCCAGGCGTCAAGGAGTTGACCACCGCGCTATCGGACGGCATGACGCCCATCGTGAGCTATCGAGCATGCCTCACGGCTCGCCCGATGCCTGGCCGATTGCGGTGGAGGTTGGAGCTCGCAGCCCTGCACGGGACTCGGTCGACAGGGTCTCCCCCCGCCTTCGTTTAAGTCGGGCCTGTCCCTCTACAGGAGGGGTATTCAAAAATAGTTACAACAAATAATATGGGGACGATTGTTCTATCATTTTTTGGCGATCTCCCTCCCAATATGTGGTGTTGGGTCCTCGTTTTGAAGAGACAGCGCCCCGCGTCCTCACTCCTCCTGCTCCCGCTCCTCCCTCCTCCTATCCTCCCCCTCCTCCCCTCTTTCCCCACTTTGGCACACCCCTCACACGCTTCGTGGCCCCAAAGGGAGCTCCACCAAAAGCCCAGATGCCAGCGCTCGCACGCGCCCACCGCACCCATTTTGGCAGACCCATCACACGCTTTGCGGCCTCATCAGGAGCTCCATCACAGGCCCAGATGCCAGCGCTCGCATGCGCCCACCGCAGCCAGTGTGGCAGACCCCTCACACGTTTCGTGGCCCCACAGGGAGCTCCACCGGAGGCCCAGATTCCAGGGCTCGCATGCGCCCACCACAGTCATTTTGGGACACCCCATCACACGCTTCGTGGCACTATAAAGAGCCCCACCGAAGGCCCATAGGCCCATATGCTAGAATACTTGCCCACCGCATCCATTTTGGCAGACCCCTCACACGTTTCGTGGCCCCACAGGGAGCTCCACCGAAGGCCCAGATGCCAGCGCTCGCATGCGCCCACCGCACCCATTTTGGCAGACACCTCACACGTTTTGTGGCCCCAGAGGGAGCTCCACCAAAAGCCCAGATGCCAGCGCTCGCATGCGCCCACCGCGCCCATTCTGGCAGACCCATCACAAGCTGTGTGGCCCCACAGGGAGGGAGCTCCACCGAAGGCCCAGATGCCAGCGCTCGCATGCGCCCACCGCGCCATTTTAGCACACCCCTTCGCGCGCTTCGTGGCCCCAGAGGGAGCCCCACCGAGTGCGTCGCATACACCGGCAGTACCCACAGCTGCATACGGTTGGGTCCTTCGCCAGGCTAAGTTTGATGTGTTTAAACGAAGGATTGCAAAAAAAACGAAGGATTGCAAAAAAAACGAAGGATTGCAAAAAAACCGAAGGATTGCAAAAAAAGTGTTTTTGTTTGCAATACTTCATTTTCCTCCCAAAATCTGCCTGTAGGGGGACATGCCCGACCTCAGCAGCCCCCTCTCTGCCTCTGCTGCCCTCGCCCCGCCGACCCGAGGCCTGCGGGGGGCCCCACTTTTTGCGCGCCGCGGCGCGGCAGGGGCAGCTCTCGCGCGCGCACACTAGCCTGCCGATGTCCGCCGATCCGACTTTTCCCGACTCGGCTGCCGATTTCCGCCGCTCCGATGGATTTCGATGTCATTTCGATCGTCGATCCGACTTATCGATTCGATTCTGGGCTCTCCTGACAAGAGGAGGGTCGAAGAAACCAAAAATGCCATAAACATACAACGTTGGCGCTCCGCGCGGATTTTTCGGATCCGCGCTGGGGGTCCCCCGACGGCGCCTCCAGCGCCGCCCCTCCGCGCGCTGGAGAGGGGTCCGGCGCAGATCCAGGAAATCCGCGCGGAGCGCCAAGAGTTCATGTTTATGGCGCTGCTTCTTCTTCTTCTTCTTATTCTTCTTCTTCTTGGTATTCTTCTTCTTCTTCTTTTAGAGGGAGGAGCGTTTAGCGGGCCGCACAGACCACAGAAGAAGGACCGGAGGGAGGCAGAGCAGTTCCACAGAAGTTGCCGCACCGCCCGTGCGAGAGCCAGCGTTTGTGCCACGAGCCGCGCCCGCTCTGCCCGCTTTGGCATGGCCGCCGCGAGGCTCGGGCGAGATTCGCCCGTCAAAGAGCCGGCCCAGTCGCGAGGGAGGCAGAAGGCACCTCTGGAACGGGGCGGAAGAGGCGGGGGGGAGGCGTGGCCTGAGGATAGGGGAACGAAGAATGACATGACATGAAAGCTCCGAGGCCCGCGCGGATGTCTTGGATCGGCGCTGGGGCCCCCTGGCGCGCTCCGCGCGCCAGGGAGCGGGGTCCAGCGCCGATGCGAGAAATCCGCGCGGATCTCAGAGTTTTGATGTCCATGTCACTGTTCGTTCCCATTGGGGTGGAAAGGGTGGAGGGGAGGCGTGGACTGACGATCCGATTTGCCAGCGCTGGTGGCAAGCGGCTTGGGCAGACAATGAGATGACGTGGTTGGATGGCGTCGGCGGCGGCCCTTGTTCGCCTCGATGCCGCGGCTCCAAGCTTCTTCGCCTCAATGGCCGCGTCACGATTGTCATGCCCCCCTCATGCTCCAGCCCCACTCTTGACACTTCGCCTCGACATGTTCCCTATCTAGGCTCTGCCTAGAAGGGTTCTTACTCTCTTTGCTTAAAGGGGCCGGGCAGTGGACCCCACCCCGGGCGGTTCCCCCAGGATCCGCCCCGCGGTTCCCCCAGTTACGTCCCCTTTGCTTAGCGTTGCTTATCTCATCTTAGCTTAGCCGCGTGTGTGCCAACCGCGTTGCCAGTTTAGTTTTCTGTTCGTGTAATTAGCATGGGTGTAATTCCCTACCTAGGCTCTGCCTAGAGGGTTAGCTTAGCTTAGCTTAACTTAGCTTAGCATCTTAGCATAACGCAACGCTGCATTAGCACAGCATAGCATAGCATAGCATTCCATAGCCAATCATAGCATAGCATAGCATAGCATAGCATAGCATAGCGCAGCACGACATAGCATAGCATAGCATAGCATAGCATAGCAAAGCATAACATAGCGTAGCATAGCATAGCACAGCACGACGTAGCATAGCATAGCATAGCATAGCATAGCAAAGCATAACATAGCGTAGCATAGCATAGCACAGCGCAGCATGACATTGCATTGCTTAGCCTAGCTTAGCATAGCATAGCATAGCATAGCGCAGCATACCAATTGCATAGCATAGCATAGCGCAGCATAGCATGGCATAGCATAGCATAACATAGCATAGCAACTAATGCTGCTTCCCAGGGCTCCAACTCCTAGGTAGGGTCGCACTGGGGTAATTCGCTGCTGCCTCCTACAGTCAACCAGCACGGTACGGATGGGCAACTTTCCAAAGGGTACCCTGCAGCCTTGCCTGCTCGGCCCATCCTTGGCCACTTCCGCTGGCCGCGCCCCGCTCGAAACGCGTCGAAATGGGCGTCCAAGGCCCGTGAATCCTTACCGCGCATCCTTATGATACGGGCAGCCTGATTTCCTCATCCCCGATTTTGCCTCCACTGGCGGCTCCGTCTGCTTTCGCGCGAGCGGGGTGAGTGATGGGCCGATTGTCTACCACCACTACCATAGGTCGGGGGGGAGGAGGAGGAGGAGGAGGAGGAGGAGGAGGAGGAGGAGGAGGAGGAGGAGGAGGAGGAGGAGGAGGAGGAGGAAGAGGAGAATGAGGAAGAGGAGGAGGAGGAGGAGGAGGAAGAGGAGGAGGAAGAGGAGGAGGCCTGGAGCCTCCACCCGCGATCTGCGATCGGCCCCGGCCGCGGCCCGCTGCAGCTCCCCCCTCGCGCGTCCTCTCCGGCGGCCAGCGACCCCCGGAGGGGCCCGCCGCGGGGGCGGCAGAGCGTGGCGCGCCCAGGCGAGGACGGGCGGGGCAGCTGCGCCCAGGAGCGGGGCCGCAGTCAAAGCTCACAGTGAGGACGCTCGGATGTCTTTGGTTTCGTTCGAGAGAGAGAGAGAGAGAGAGAGAGAGAGATAAAAAAAAAAAAAAAATCTCAGCGAGCGCAGAGCGGTATAACATAAGCTGTTTCGCCGTCGGGGGCGCCTGTCCCTGGGCGGCTGGAAGGTGTATACCCCCACGGTGCCACCGTAGGGGCATACACTTTCCGGCCGCCCGGGGACGGGCGCCCCCGACAGCGAAACAGTTTATTTTATACCGTTCTTCGCCCGTTAAAGTACAGACGCCCGGACGTCTGTGGTTTCGAAGGAGAACATTCGCCGTGAACATAAAAATTGTCGACGCTCCGCGCGGATTTCTCGGATCCGCGCTGGGCCCTCCTCCCTGGCGAGCGGAATGCTCCAGCGCGGATTTCTGTCATCCGCGCTGGGCCCTCCTCTGGCGGGTTCCGCGCGCCATCGGTCGGCGCCACTTGAATTAGCATCCGCGCTATTTGACGGAGGAGGAGGAGGTGGAGGACGAGGAGGAGGAGGAGGAGGAGGAGGAGGAGGAAAATGAGGAGGAGGAGGAGAAAAGAAGAAGGAACGGTGAGATTATACCGCTCCGACTCCGACTGGACGAGCAGGTGCAAGGCTGTATTGTAGCACAGGTTCGCCACATTGGTGTCGAAACTGTGTAACGCAGCTGGCTCGAGTTCAATCTTCCTCCAGAGGAAAAGCCGACGACCGTATACGGTGGGGGCATTCGTTAAGGAATGGGCCCAGGAGGCTCGAGACCCTGGGGGATTCCTTATATCTGATGAGGGCGGAAGTCTCATCGGCCTCCAGACTCTGGATTCCTTATGTAAGGGCTCCTTCTCTCGGTCCAGCTCCGCGTGCGGGCGCTGTCCGGGCGGCCCGCCTGCACCGGCGAGCGGACGCCCGGCTCCCCCTTGGGGATGCCGCCGCGGCGCGGATGTGCCAGGCCCCCGCCGCTGGCCAGCCGCCCCGTGGCGCACCCCGCGCCCCAGGCGCCGTCGCCGCCGCGGCCGGAAGGCCAGGGCCGCGGACGCGGCCGAGGCCCCCAATGGGGGCGGAAGGGGTCGAGGAGGAGGCGGGCGTGGAGGACTCCGGCGATGGCTTCGACAGCGCGTGGGCGGAGCGCGCGCCCGTGGTGCGCGCTGCGCTCGGCCGCGCTGCCCGGCACTGCCGCGGCTTCCAGTGGCGGGGCCCCTGCGGGGGGCGCGGCGGGAGGGGCGGCGGTGGAGCTGGGCGCCGTGGCGACGGCGACCGCGGGCCCCAACTCTGGGCCGATGGGGGCATCGTCCGATGGCCATCCTCAGGCCCCTGCCGTCGCGGAGGCCGAGGAGCGAGCGGTGCTGGTTGCGGCGTTCCGCCTCGCGACGCCCAGCCTCCCGATCCAGGCGTCCGACGGCGGCGGCCTCCCGATCCAGGTGCTCCACGACCTGCTCGGGCGGCCGGCGCGGGCGCGGGCTGCGCGGAGAGGCTGAGTGAGTAGGGCCGCGTGGCAGTGTGGACCCCAGCCCCATGGGGCGGTGAGGCGCGTGGAAATGATGGCGCTCCCCTGGGGTGGTCCTGGGGTACGCCGCGGGCGCTGCGCCAGCGCTGTTAAATCGGCGCTGCGTTTGGAATTCGTTGCTCGCACGGGTTTCGGCCCTCGTAGAGCAACAAGAATGTCCTCACCGTATTCATGGTAGCGGAGCCCGCGGGTCGCCCAGGGGTTCCTGTGTGCGTCGAAGCATTTCCCTTCCTGCTGTGGCCGCACCGGCAGCCGTCGTGGGACCAGCAGGCCCTGGTGCAGCCGACCTGATTGAGTTGTAGAGTTGTATTTAGAGCGTGGTGGCATTACCCTCTGGAGAAGGGGAGTACTGCCGAATGTTTGAAGGCGTATCCGTAGCATTGGCCTGCAAGCGATTCTCAAAATCTTCCAAGTTGATTGCGGCATCTCGTTGGAGAGCGGTGCAGGCGCAACCACTACCATTGCGAACAGGCGCGGGTTGGGAAACGTCGGACGCACCGACATTTGCCAGTTGTTGTTGCAAGAGAAGGTGAAACGAGAAGACTTCCAGGTGATCAAAGTAGGCAGGAGAACCTTGCCACTGTTTGTGTATGTGAGCAGGCCAACATGCCCATGCCGATTCGAAGTGCCAACCAACACAGACCTAACGGAATGCAGGAGTTGGCGCCCGCTGCGGAGTGCTAGCTCAAGTCATGCCTGGGTCATCATCGCAAGCCGCTTTGCTGGGGACATGAGCTCAGGATCAGTTGAGATCCAGGTGCCCGTCTATGCGGTTCAACATTTCTATTACAGAACATGTTTAAACCATTGTTGGAATCGGTGTTTTGTGACACTTGAAAATCGCGTACCGTGTCTTAGGAGGGCCCTGTACGTTTACGCCCAAGTAATAGCCGCATTATGTTTGCACCAGTTGTGCTGCGACGTATTCTACTAAATCAGTTGGTTTGCTAAAAAAACTCGTCCGTTGTTCAGTCGCGCTTGATGTTTACATGGCATTCGTTGCCACATTCGGTTTATCAGCCGATGGGGGGGTGTTAGGTTATAGCGCTCCGACTGGGCGAGCAGGTACAAGGCTGTAGTGCCGGATGCAGGCGCCAAGCTAGAGTCGCAAGTGTGTGCGGCGTGTGGCTCAAGTTCAATATTCCTCCAGGGGGGAGAAAGCTCCTACCATATCAGAAAGGCCTTACGGTCGGTGCCAACGACCCTGAACAACGACGGCGTCCACGACGACACCGACACCGACACCGACGACGACGACGACGACGACGGCAACGGCGACGACGACGACGACGACGACGATGACGACGACACCGACGGCCGCGGCGACGGCGGCGGCGGCGGAGGAGACGACGACGACGACGACGACGACGACGAGGACGACGAGGACGACGACGACGACGACGACGACGACGACGACGACGACGACGACTTTCGCTGTCGGGGGCCTCTTGGGGGTAGTTTGGTGGCTTCTTGGGAGACTCTTGGGGGCCTCTTGGGAGCCTCGTGGGGACCCGGGGTTTCTTGGGGTTTTCTTGGAGGCCTCTTGGGGCCTTTGGGGGGGGGTGGGAGGGCCTTTGGGGGCCTCCCGGGAACCTTTCAGGCCGGGGGCTCGAAATGTCCGTTTGGGTCCCCCGTTTGGGTTCCCTCTTGGGGTTGTTTTGGGGGTATCTTGGGCTGTCTTGGAGGCCTCTTTGCCGGTTTTGGGGCCCTCGTGGGTCATTTTGGGGCCCTCTTGGAGGCCTTTTGGGCGATCTTGGGGACCCTGTGAGCTGTTCTGGAGCGTCGGGAAGCCGACAAGGCGAGAACGCCAAAATATTCCAAAACTTTAGTAGCATTGATGATTTTTGCTTTTGGAGCCGTCTTGGGAGTGCTCTCGGGGGCCTCTTGGGGCGTTGTTCTGAAAACCTCTTGAGCCGTCTGAAGGCTATTTTAGCGTCTTGGAACCATAGTTCGACGATTCGAGGCCCTCGAGGATTGTCCTCGGGGCCTCTTGGGGCACGCTTGCCGCGTCTTGGGGCTTGCCTGGGCCCCGGAACCGCCCAGGGGGGCTGCGTATCCGGGTGGCGACCCACACCACGGGACCCACCCGCCAGGACCCCTCCCCCAGGACCCCCCCCCCTTTGCGGGGGAGGGATCAAAGGGAAGGGGCTTCTCTTCGACTCAGCTACGACGTTGCTCAATGTCGCTTTGGCTGGCGCGCTTACGGAGGAGGGCCCAGGGAAAGGAAACGGGGGACGACGGAGACGACGATTGACGGAGATGACGAGGAGACGACGGAGACGGAGACGATGACAGACGACGAGGAGACGACGGAGACGACACGGCGACGACAACGACGGCGAACAACGGACGAGCGTCTTCCACACACCGACAGGGTCGGCGGACTTTCAGGAGCGACGAGGAGGAACGAGGAGGAGGAACGAGGAGGAACGAGGACGAACACGAAGGAGGATCTGGAGGAAAGTGAGTGGGAGGACGAGGGATGTGGAGAAGGACGAGGAGGGCGATTGTAATAATAAGAAGACGACTAATTTTAATAAGAAGAAGACGAATAGGATGAAATATTACCTGAGTAAGCCCAGGGTGCAGCAACAATGCTGCAATACACTCCTCCGTCCCAGACCAACTCCGCAAAAGTCTCTCGAAGCATTCTTCTTCACAGCGAGAAGCATGCCCCTGAACGACGAGCACCCCATGCGCCTTCCATTCAGGCGAGGGCTCCGTTGTGAATAGGATCCGCACTCCATCCGCCCACGTAGCCCTAAGAAGTACAGAGAGGCAGGGCCAGACAGTTGGAGGACGTTTTCAGCGAGAGCTCTGCTTTTTATCGAGCCGTTGCCCATTCGTGCAACTTGCGGTCAAAGTTAAATTCCTGCCCGTACGCATTGAAGGCGTCTTGGGGGAGAGCGCAACTTTGAAAGTCAGCAGCCATCCATCCTGGGAGTTATTGTCAAAAGGTTCGATAGCATCACAAGCGCAAGCTCCGTTTTGAAGTGGAGCAGCCACCCATGCACGTAGCTGATGGAAACTTTTGCGACGGGTGTGCGCGGCGCTAAGGCGAGAGCGGCAGTTTGAAACTGGCCGGCCATGCATCCGTGTCGCTGAACAATGCGTTCAGGCGATAAGCACATGCTGGAAGCAACCTCAAATCTATCCGTGTAGCTGTTGATGGTGTTTAAGACGTATCTGCGAGGCGAGGCGGCGAGCGCCACACTTTGAGATCTACTCGCCCTCGAGCCGTGACTGAAGGTGTTTTCAGGCTTCAGGAGCAAGCCTTGCGATGACGTCTCAGGCGAAATGCCCAGCCCCGCTCGACGGACACGTCTGGTGGTGCGACGAGGTTGGGTTATTTACAAGGCAGGGGGATGGAGAAAGGTCAAACGGAAGCGGATGATCCTGATGATGATGTTGTTGTTGGTGTTGATGATATCAGGAGCAGGAGCAGGAGGAGGAGGAGGAGCAGCAGCAGGAACACATCATCGGTTTGCAACCATTCATTGTGCGGCCATAGAGATACTTGCTTTGAAGCTACGAGATGGGATGCGGAGGGATGGGGGAGTAGGGTTCCTCCTCCTTCTCCTCATTCATCCTTCCTTCTCCTACCTTTTCTTCATCGCCCCTCCTTCTCGTCCTCATCCTCGCTCCGCGTTCTCATTTCTCCTTAGCGTTCCTTCTCTTCCTCCTCTCCTATCCCCTCGCAGTTTCCCTTCTCCTCCTCCTACTCCTCCTCCTTCTCCTCCTCCTCTTGCGCCTCCTCCTCCTCCTCCTTCTCCTCCTCCTCCTCCACCTCCTCCTCCTTCTCCTCCTCCTCCTCCTCCTCCTCCTCCTCCTCCTCTCTCTTTCTCTTTCTTTCTTTCTTTCTCTCTCTCTCTCTCTCTCTCTCTCTCTTCTTTGTTTTTCTTTCTTTCTTTCTCTCTCTCTCTCTCTCTCTCTCTCCTCCTCGGCTGTAAGACACAGCACTGGGCGCACGAGGCGAGGGAGAGAGGGGGAGGATGGGACCTGGACCTACTCGCCGCGGCCCTAACCCCTCGGCCGGCCAGCCTTGGCGAGAGGACAGCGTCCGCAACTGTGCGAACAGCGTCCGGCTGTTTGGGTTCGCCGTCGAGGACCTGCGCGAAGGCCAGGGGGCGGAGCTGCAGAGGGCGGCCGAGAGGCAGGACGAAGCCATGGCGGAGAGGTACCCGGAGCCCAGCGGCTCTCAGGGGCAACGAGAGGGGGGGATAGGCATAGGGGGGGATGCATCGGCCACCAATCGCCAATTGATCGCCGATAGGGGCCCGATAGCCCCAGCCTGCCCGGGAAGGTGCGGATTCACTATCGGGGGCCTATCGCCGATGTATCGCCGATTCTAGTTCGATGCGTCCCCCCCTACAGTGCAGACCCATGCCAAGAAGCACCCTGCTTGCCGCCAGGGTGCCCTGGGCTTCCTGGGCCTCGATGGCTCTGCAATGGAATGCGCGACGCTCCCACACCAGAACTCGGTGGACGCCCTTGGGCCTCAGGGTTGGCCTTCTTGTGGACGGTTTCTTGTGGTCGGGCCCCCACTGTACGCCAGTCCCCCCCATCGCCGCCCCCCAGGCTCGCAGTGGGGCGGGCAGTGGCCCAGCCAGCGGCAGTGGGCCGGCCTGGCGGGGGGCGCGCAGGACAGCGCCGGCGGGCTGCAGACCTCCACCAGCTCGGAGGCGTCGAGCAGTGGCGGGGCCTCCCGGCTCGCCTGTAGGCCCACCAAAACATGTTCTGAGACCATTTTTTTTGTGGTCTGCACGAAGGCAAGGGAGGAGAACCCACCCAGAAACCCGATAGTTGGCCCTTGCTCATCGGCCCTGGGCGTTTGCTGAGCCGCCCTGCCCTGTTCGATTTCTTCTTGGGGCGCGTTTGCCAAGCGACTTCGCGTGCCGGCGTGGTTATTTTGGGGGTGGATTTGTTGACCTCTACGGAGGGTTCTGAGAACATTTCTGGCTGGGACTGTCTTGTTTGAACACCTCGGGCGTATGTTCTAAGAACGTTGGTTTTGTTTTTCGAACACCCTTGGGTTCTAGGAACACGTCGTGGTAGGCCTACAGGAATGCCCGGACGGTCGGTCCCTGCTCAAAGAGGGGCAGCCGGCCAGCCCGGCGGAGGAGGGTGCGCAGGGCGCCAGCGACGGCGGCTGGTCCTCTTCCAGCCCCGAGGATGCCGGGAGCACGGAGGCCGAGGAGATCCCCCCCGCGGACTTCGAGAGTCTGCCGGAGGGCGTCTACTTCAGCACCAAGGAGCACATCAAGATCGTCATGCAGAAGAGCGAGCGTTTGCGGGGCAGCATCGAGCGCGCGGATTCGCCACCGCAGCAGCGGTGGTTCGCCCTGGCTGTCATCCTCCTGTGCGGGGTGCTGGTGGTGGCCTTGCGGCGCTACGCCTGGAGCAGCGAGCAGCGCACCGACGCAGAGGGCTCACCCGTGGTCATCAGCCGAACGTCCGTTCGCCAGCTTCTGCGTGTTGTGTGGCCGCTGCCGGGCAAGCTCCCGCAGCTCGTGGAGGCTGACAAGCTGCCGGCGTCGCGCGGCGGTGGCCGGGCGTTGCCGACCCGGCCGAGCAGCTCGCAGAGCCTGCTGGGGCTGCTGGGGGTTTCTGGCGAGCCGGTCGCCTAGAGCGGGCGAGCCCGCCAGGATAACGAGCTCGAGGGCTCTCTGAGATCCGCGCTTAATTCGTCCATGATCGGAAACAGCGACAGTGGACGAGGCTTTGCGTCTTTCTGGGCCTCCTAGGTGGGGTCTGAGTAGATGGGGTCGGAGGATCGCGCCGCATCGCCGATGCGGCTCTATGTGGAGCCCGATTTGCTTCACGTCGACGTCGCCGATGCGTCGTCCACCTCCACGATGCATCGCTGGTGCATCGCCGATGCACTGCCGATGCATTGCCGATACATCGGCGATGCGGCGCGATCCCCCGACCCCATCTACCCGGACCCCATCTAGGAGGCCCCTAGTATTTGAACCAGACTGCGGTAGAAGCCATTTAAAGGCCTTGTATAGACCGCCTGGAGTGTTCAGATTGGCAAGTGTTTCTGCACGCTTTGGTCGGGTGGAGGTCAGCGGAGGAGATCGGGATTCAGCGAGACACGTGGTAGGGACATGCTGATCCAAATGTGCCCAGGGACATCCCCCTAGAGCAGAGTTCCTTTCACGTTTGAGGTGCACCTCTTCTCAACACCGTATGGTTCACATGTCAATGTTTGGGCAAAGTCCGGCCCTGATGTGATTTCCCCGAACTCTCGTGCCAGATCCCGTTGGGGTCGTGTGTGGGCCAGAGCTGTTTGTGTGGGTCGCGTGTGGTTCCGGCGGCGGACACTGCCTACGACACTATGGGGCGCCCCCAGATAATGGAGGATGACGATTAATAAATGACCGGGGGTCGTGTTCACGCGGCGGCGCCCGGGATGACGATTAGAAAAAACCGGCCGCGGGCTGGAAAACCATTTTTTCAATCGTTCTCCTCCAGTCAGAAAATTATGCAGAAATCACAGGAAACTCTGTTTTTAATCGTTCTCTTTCATTTTTTATCAATCGTCATCCCGCATTAGCCTTCGACGAGGCGCAGCTGATCGGACGGCCTCTGGCGCGCTGCGGCATTTGCGAACGCCCCCCAACGTTATCCGAGCCACTCGAACATCTTTCGCCCGACAGTGCCAGTTGTAAGCTCCTCGGCTCGCAGAAGCCGCCGCGGTACGGCGGGGATGCTCCGTGGCCCACAGGCCTCTCGTGCACCAGGTTGTCTGGGAGGGCGCCCCTCTCCGGGGTGGCTCGGCCGCCCCACCCGCGGAGGTGCTGGATGAACAGAACCTGTCTCCTCACCGTCCGCATCCTGGTCATCCTCGGATGCGACCACGCGGGGCCAGTCCCTGAGAACCCCCAAGACGTCTAAGTGAGTACAAGCGCTGGTCGGGAAGCAAAGGGAGCCACATGCCCTCCGCCTCGGTAATGGCTGCCCTCCGAGCGGGGAGGGAGGGAGGGAACGAGTGAGGACAGCACAGGTATGTTCTTGAGTCTTAGGTCGTTTCCCTTTTGTCAGAATGTCTATGTGAGGGGTTCGGGATGCTTCCACCTGCTCGTTGTCCCAAGCCGCGTCTTGCACTCTGGGGTCGGCCCCCTTCCCCCCCAGAAGGGATAAATACGGCACATGTTCGCGAAGGGATAAATACCTTGATCGAGTCAATGTGTGGACTTCGTCAAACCGCAACTCCGCAGACATCCCGAGTCAAAGATGGCCGCCTGAGACCCTTACCGTTATGTGGAGGCAGGGCGTGGTCCGCTAATTCATTGGAATTCACAAGTAATGCGAGCCGTTTGTTTGCTCGTGCGGAGCGCGGAGCGCTGGTGGCTTTTTCCTTGGGGCGCTCCCCCGCCAGTGTGCTTTATGAGTCTCGGTCGCAAGGGCGTCTGAGCATGGAGTATAAACGCATTGATTCTTCGGCAGCGCACTCTGCCTCCGTGGCTTGCTCGGGGGCGTTTGGGCCCCACTTTGTGTGATTTGAACGGTGCTGGCCAGGCGGCAGATGTAACCTCGATCGTCAGTCTGTAGCTCCGTTTTGTCTTGACTCTGGTGGTCTTCTCAGATGTCTGCTTGGCGTGGGCCACAGACGGAAGCAGCCTCATCTACGCAGCTCTGTTTGAATGACTTACAGGCCTGCAACTCGCAGAGTGCACCCGGCAGCCAAGGGATAGCGCAACTCTGCAATTTGCCTTGGCAACGCCATTTTCGCCATTCCGCCATTTCCGGCGTATTGGGCCCCCCACAGCGTTTGGTCGCCCCCACAGCGTTTGGTCTACTGGTGCGCCGTGTGTCGCTTGGGTTTGCGGTGTAGCTGGAAGGTCGATCTAGTTTTGAAGCTGCTCTGTGATGCTGCGGTCCGCAGGCTAATGTCGCGGTTGCCGATTTCAGGGCTCAGCTTCTTGCACGCAGCTTCTTCCCCTTCGTATCGGGGCCGATGATCTGTCAATCGCGTAGACAAGCCCGCCATTATTTCTTGTATCCATCATGCACTTGTCCATCCAGTTCTGTTCTGAGCCGCGGGGCAACACGAGGGTTCGAATCCAACTTTGCGGTCCAGGGCACAGCCAATGCAACAGGTAGCAAGCAGCCTCACCAGCAGCTCCCCTTTGGAAGTCGCCTTTTTCTTTCTGCCCTACGAAGTCCAGTAGCTACGTGCGCTGCTGTGCATCTAATCTAACCTTTTGTGGCAAACCCCACCAGCGAGCGAGCTTAGCGTTGTACCTAGGGGAACGAACAATGACATAAACACAAAAACTCGGAGGTCCGCGCGGATTTCTCGCATCGGCGCTGGATCCCCCTGGCGGCGCCACCGGCGCCGCCCTTGGCGCGCTCCGCGCGCCAGGGAGGGGGCTCCAGCGCCGATCCGAGAAACCCGCGCGGACCTCCGCGTTTTTCTGGGTAGTCGAAGGTCAGACTGTCAGATTGGATTGGGCCCCAAGGGCCAATCTGGCAGGGCCAAACTGGATGATTTGGGTTATTCGCCAGACTGGATTCGCGTTGGCTCCCTCGCCAGATTGCCCCCGTTTGCCAGATTGGGCCTGCCAGATTGGCGCCAGATTGGCTTCGACTACTCAGTTTTTGTGCTTATGGCATCGCTTGATTCCCCAGGATCAATCTCTCTCAACAGGGGATCGGTCGAGCCCTACTTGAACGGGCGGGCTGCGCCCGTGCGGCGCTCTTGGGACCGTCTCGGGCTCGATGGATTTGCCGAGCTCGCTCGGGGTGGAGTCGTCTTGGAGGCGTCTTGGAAGCAGCGCTACGATGGGCATCGTTTTCTTATTCATTGTTTTGCCGATCGGCGCTGGCCCAATGGAGTACGAGGAGGAGGAGGAGGAGGAGGCGGAGGAGGAGGCGGAGGAGGAGGAGGAGACGGAGGAGGAGAAGGAGGAGGAGGAGGAGGAGGAGGCGAGGGCACGCGGAGGAGGGGGCCCAGGGCGTTGCCCGCGAGGCGCCGGCGGCCGGTGGCAGGCTCTACGGGGACGAGCACCCCCTCTCCCCCCCCCCTATGGACCAGTGGAGTAGATGTTGGCTGTTTTGGGGCGCCCGTTTCGACAGGTGGAGACTCCCCCCCATAGGACGCAAAGCTGCAAACAGTCGCCATGATGCAGAGGTCCGGAGCAGGACCCCCCCCCCTCCCCCCCCTTCCTCCCAATGCCGAAACGCCGAATAAAAAAACGCTCACATGCTACTGCGTTGTGTGGCCGCAACGCTGCTTGGCTGTTGCGCTGCTAAAGTTGAGGCTTTGGGAGCCTGCCTTTTGCTGGCAACTTTCTAGGGTTTAGGGCGGCCTTTCTGGGGCACCTTGTGGGCTTCGGGAGGTCCTCGGAGGCGCCTGTTGAGAGTTCTGGGGCAGTCCTGGGCGTGCTGACTCTGCCGAGCCCTGGCGAAGAGATTTGGGAGAACCGTTCTGGGGCTGGCTGGACGGGTCTTGGGACCCCCTTGGAGTCCTTGGAGCTGTCTCGGGACGGTTTGGGGGTTCGTCTTGAAGGTCCTCGGGCCCTCTTGGGCCCGTCTTGGGCAGTCTTGGTTGTTTCCTCTAGCTCCATGGGGCCGTCTTGTGACATTCTGGATCATGCCTGAACCTCGTAGGTGGGCAGGCATGGTAATCAGACTCATCTCTGCGAAGATCCCGACCTTAGCTATCAAACAGCATAGAGCGTTGACCACCCCTACGCAGCACCTGACACGCACACGCTCCAGGGGCAAGTGGCGGGTTCCAACACGCGGGAACTGACTTCCAATACCGATTCGGTCCTTCAAGGATTGTCTCTTAACGCGCGCTGTAGACAAACCGATCGGTCTTGCAAGTTAGACCATCGCTTGAAGTAAGTAGCGTATGCCCCCGTGGGCCACGAAGTGTGAGCAGGTTATGCCAAAATCAGCAGGTGTCGTATACGACTGGGCCCTTTGGCTTCTAGCGGAGCACCTGAAAGTTCTTAATGGAGCACGCGGTGCCCGAGGGATGCGCCAGAATCAGCAGGTGGGCGATCGCGGCCGTGTCCTGTCGGCGTCGTAGTGGAGCTTCTCATTGAGGCGCGATGTATGCGAGTGGTGCGCCAAGGTGAGCAGGTCAGCAACTGCGACCGTGTCCACCGGCGCCACAGTTAAGACTACATGGGGCACGAGGTGCGCGAGGTCTGCGCCAAAATAATCCATTCGGCAAACGCGTTGCGCCACGGTGAGTTGGGCTGAGATGGCTCGCGCGAGCATGCGACCGAACGGACACAAGGTACATATTGCAGCGGTGCTAACGTGGGGTCGTACGAGCACGGGGCAAGTGTGGGCAAGCACCGCATGCGGGCGTGGCCGTTGGCGCTGCGGCTGTGACTCCCTGTGAGGCCCGAAGCGTGTGAGAGGTGTGCGCCAACATGACGGCCAGTGCAGCATCCCATCGTGCTTCCTGGCGCAGCGGCGGGTGCTCCCGACTGGACGCAAAGTGTCGGCGAGGGGTGAACCAAAAAGATAGGCCGGTAGTGCATGTGTATGCATGAAGGCACCCCCGCCAGCGCCCGAGCTCGGGCCCCCTGTTGGGTGCGGAGGCTGTGAGCGATGCTCGAAAATGAGGGCCAGTGCCGCACGCCGTCGCCCCCGCTGACGC